TAAGTGCATCAGAGTCTGCAGCCGCTGAATCTACCTTGAATAGGCTTACAGGATTGTCTGCGGAGGCCTCAATGCTGATGACTTGAGTTTTTGAAAATAAAATTGAGCTGAAGCTTTTAAATGGCTTACATCCATTCATTCTTGTTCTCTTATTCACGTATCCGCTTTCTGAACTTATCTGTCCTCTCATCTTTCTTGCTCACTTTCTGTGACACTCATGCTTCCTCCACACGGTCATAACCGTCTCCTCTTTTATGCATCTTTCTTCATATCCTCCCAGCTGTCCTTTATACCTCCCTATTTCCCCTTTTCTTTCCTCTCTCACACCTCCACACTCCTTTAACCCTAGACGCTATTTATTCCCCAACACCCCAAGAGTCACGCTGAGCACTAAAATGCGTCTTGAGTAACCCAATCGGAAATAACAGCTCTATATACAGGTGCGAACGTACTCGGAGAGGCTTTGCCACTGCATTCCTGAAGGGACATTTGGAGGTGGTCAGTGACACATGGGGCCACAAATATAATAATAATGTCAATGCAAATGAGCCCCTGTCCGAACTGAAGGACTGAAAAGTCCAAACATGCCAGACAGTTTTTAGACCAAAAGGCAGATAGGGGGTAGATGTTAGTCTGGTTTGTGAGTTTTCATGCATTGTTTTTACAGTCTGCTTACTGTGCAAGCACATTAACTCCATTCAGGGGTACACTAAAGAGTGCTCTGACACACTGCAGTATCTCCCAAAATGAATCCCAAACTAGATCTATTAAAATGTAATAAAAATATTACAAGCAGAATGATGGGAGGCGAGGAAAAGATTTTCCCATTATCACTTTTAGAACCGTGAATGCAGGAAGGTCCCTGGTGTTAACATAAAAAAGATGTGACAACATTAACAGAATAACAGTCACAAGATGAACGTTTAGAATAACTTATGATTGTTATGAAAAGCAAACAGAATCATTAAAAATATATGGTGGGCTGCAGATAGTGTCTATATCTAATCCAGGCTTGTCGTTGAAGAAGAACATGTGCAGAGAATTTAACAACTCAGTAAAATCATTCGTTGATTTTAGAAATATTACAAATTTAGGATCTACAGGCTGTGTCTGTCATCCTGTCGGCTACACATTTGCACTTTTTGCCAAGCTGTGGCATTGAGCCACTGTAAATTATTGATAACGCATTGTTCTCTTTTTAAACTAACAAGCTGCAGAGCGTCTACCCAGCTCTATTTGTTTACTATTTAGATTGCCAACTTGGAGCACATCCACTTCCTGCTGTTTGACTCATGTGGAGTATGTACAAGACCACACAGGGGACCTTCCACCCCTCCTTTCAGATCCTGTGCACACTGTGAGCAACTGTGTTGCCATCCAAATGGATGATTAGTGAGAGAGAAGAGTGCAGAAAAGTAATAATATATATTAACTAGCAACATAATCTACCACAAAAAGTGATGAACCTTGTCACTGTATAAATGAATCAGAATTTCCTCTGCACTTTTTTTTTTCATATCTTCCATTAGCCATCCATGTCTCATTACTAAATTGATTCTCCACGAGGCAAACGGGGGTGTCACTTGATCATATGAGGGAATTTAT